ACTTGAGGTAAAGATGGTCTCTAACTGATGTTTAGTGTTTACAAACAAGAACTTCCTGGCTAATGATTTTCACAAAACTTGGATGTTGATCATTATTTATAGTACGGGCTACTAATCGTTAAACATTAGTACGTTAAATAAAAAAAAAACAGGGGAAAACCACGAGACGAAGAGATTTCTTTCAGGTTAACACTGGGCCCTGTTAAAAGCCAAGAGAGAACAAAGAAGAATAACTTAGTTTCAAACTCTGACAGGTATTCCGGACAATTGCGGGTTATCCTGTGTCTGTTATAGTGGAGGTGGGGGGCATGGTGGTTAAGTGAGCAAGACGCTGGCTCGCTAGCCTGGAGGTCGCTCTCGGTGTTGGCCGAGAAACTTCATCGGGATTTTCTGGCGCGTGTACACACTGGCGTGCACGTTAAAGATCCTTGGCGGTTGCTGGAATTCAATACAAGAGTAGGTCATAGCGTAGCTGTCCGGGCAAAATTTCCCTTATAGCAGACTGTATGGCGTATGCCCGTCTTCATTAGGCCAGTCGGAGAAGAACAGTAGGACGTTAAACCCCATTTCATTTCAGTTATAGTGGAGCCATTCTTTATTTGAAAGAATTTTTATTTGTATATTTTTTATGTTTATTTAAACAATTTAATCGGTTTAATTCTATATGAATTGTCTTTTTACCAAATGTACTTATTCCCAATCAGCAAATATCTGCTTTAGAATCCAAAATCTACTACATTCATTCCATGTCATTTAAGGACAATTTGTGGGTAAAAGAAGAAAAAATAAATAAAATTATTATCGTTTATTTTGTCTACGTAAAATACACACCTGTTTGTATCCCACGACATGTTTCAAGATTCTGATCAATTTGAGAAACAAAACAATAAATATACGTGGACGTGCCCCGCCGGGACAGTCCCAGGATTGTATTGTTTATCTCGCTTATAATCCAAACGGTATATCGTTAAGAGAAACGATCAATGGAAGATGTTCGAAAAAATAAAGATAAAAACAATTCAATATTTAAAGGAGAATTTCTCGTTTGTGAGGAGTAAATCTATGTGAATAACAGGTTATGTATATATCTGATTGAGACAACCTATCGGCCAATACAAAATGAAATGGGGTTTAACGTCCTACTGTTCATACGTCATGCAGTGTAACATGTGGAAAATTTTGCCCGGACAGCTGTAGTACTATGGGTCGTCTGTCAGATGTGGAAAGTGGGTCTCCGACAAACCGATCGCCATATCCTACGTATGATCCATGCACTCTTTTCTTACAACATATCTTGGAACAGCCCTTGATCGTCCAGTTTGTTTCTTTACTTCCTATTCTGACATACCACGTCAATGACAGCTTCACGTTTTATGATTGCATATACTGCATCTTAAATAGTATGATTAACGGGAACAACAAATGCAAGAGTCTATTGACTACAGTTTCATATTAAGCCTGGATACATAGGTTACAAGCATAGGTTACATTACAATACTTAAAATTAGCTTGTCTTTCTCTCCACCCCAACTCCTGTGAATGCCTAACCAGCGTGGCTAGTCTCAGGAAACCTCTACATCATATGCTCAACCATCATGATGTCTTTCGATCGGCCAGAGCTCTGAAGGTTTTCTACCCTTTGGTTTCGACTTTCAATTATCTGATTGGTCAAATATGATGTAATTGATTATATTGATTCGTTACCAAACCAAATGATGCAATAGTAATTTTCCACCACGAGTGATCTGGTGATATTTTGTTTTTAACACAGAACCAGCTATGTTTTTGGTTTTATAAATCTTGTTATGTGTCAACACATCACTCATGTTAGTTTGAGTCTCGAGGTATGACCTCTCTACAATGTGTGAATCTAATAATTAATTAAAGATACCACATGGTCGCAAAGACCATAGCACTACACAGCTGCGCTACGGCCAACTCTTAACATCGAATTTCAGCTGCCAAGGGATCATTTTATGTGCACGCCAATGCGTACACGGGGCATCGGCTTTTCGTCACATCAGAACGAATATATTTTGTCCCTTGTCAGGCACTCTGTCCTCCACGACTGACAAGGAGGGACCACGCCGGAAAATCTCAATATACTTTTTCGGCCAACGCAGGGATCAAACACGGGAAATCCAGGTTAGCGAGCTAACGTCCTACTCACTGAGTCCCATGGCTCCGTCTGTCGATACGAGGGGATCACGGTGGTTAAGTGGGTAAGACGCTGGCTCGATAGCCTGGAGGTCGGGTGCTCGATCCCTGCAGTGGCCGAGAAAGTTCATCTAGATTTTACATGGTGGTTCCCCCTTGTCAGTGATGCAGGAAAGGGGGCCTGACAAGGACAGCTGTCTAGTCGTTCGGATGGGACGAAAAACCGAGGTCCCGTGTACACATTGGTGTGCACGTAAAAGATCCCTTGAAGGTTGTAATTCGATATAAGAGTAGGCCACTGTGCCGCTGTCCGGGCAAAATTTCACTCATAGCACACTGCATGGCGTATGCCCGTCTTCATTAGCCCAGTTCGCAGCTGAACAGTAGGACGTTAAACCACATTTCATTTCATTTCTGTCGATACGAAAAAGGAAAATTTACATGGATGATTACGCTGTTTTTCGCTCCCTTTGCGAGATTGTTCCACGGGCATCTCATTTTACAGCACACCCAGGGGCGCCGGAACCCGGGTACAAAGGTATACAAATGGTACCCTGCCCTTTTCTAGGGTATACATGTATACCCATGCCCTAATGATGAAAGTTTTCAACATTTTTACTAGTGTATTCATTTTTAAATGATAGATATGTAATTGCTCTCTGGTCGGTAGCGAACCGGCTCTAGCACTCTCATTATCAGATATCAGTGCATGCCTTGGCCAGATGTCTATAAGTGGTTAATCGACTATTTGCCAAAATTCACAAGTTGAGAATGGACGAAATAGACATTGTGAAAATATTATCTGAATTTACTGTGAAATCTAATCAGCGCGTCAATTATTTCGGTCGATTATAGTCTCACTATAGTGTTTCGCCAACACTTGCTCCTGAATATGAGCTCTTGCAATAATCGTGTCTCTAAATCTACTGTCTCGTTCAAAAAGCTTATTCTATTTTCTTGATGAAGATTGGTGTATTCAATGTCAAATTAAAAAGACTTGTTTTATTAGGTGAATTGCTCATGATACGAAAATTGTGAATAATCTGGCTTTTGTCTCTTTTATTATCATGTATATTAAAGGGTTTTATGTTGGAATTTGGAATGCTAGAGGCGCTCTAAACAGCGCTCTCGGAATTGACAAATTTCAAAATTTTCTAGAGTGCGGGGGGAGAGAACACCCCGCCCTATCGTTTGGTACCCTGGCCCTTGCGCCGTTCCGGCGCCCCTGAGCACACCTTTAACCGGTGGCTAAAGTATAGGTAGTTTGATCCATATTTTTGTTTTGTTGGAACTTCCTTGCACAACTCTTACACCCTCAATCTTGAAGCTAGTCATAATGAATTTTTAAAAAATATGAGCTAGTCGTAAGTAATATATGTTTCAAGTTTAAAGTAATGAGTGTTTAGGTGTGCCGCGGTGTAATTAATTTTCAAAGATATATCACGGACAGTAGCACCCGTATTATTTCATGAAATTTGTAAAGTTAGGTTATTTTAAACGTATGGAAGTAAATCCTTATACTATAACATATATATTGCCCATTCCTGTTTAAGCAATGACGATAAAATTATTTTGTTTGCAATACATGGATTTTAGACCTAATATACAAGGGTATACAAATGGTACTCTGCCCTTTTCTGAGGTATACATGTATACATTACCATTTTATGGTGGTTTTAATTAGGTCAAGTGAACAGTGTTCGATATGACTTAACAACTTCTACAATATGGGCAGCATCTCGGGTCTATCTTCTCTAAAAACAAATTAAACATAGTAGAATGGGAATTATTCCAAATAAAGTATCACCAAACATGGGGATTCTCAAAATATGAGTATATCAATTACGTTTTATAGGGATTGTATAATGCGTACACAGTCCTTATCATTATTAAAATACTACTTTCGTTTTAATGCCTCAATTTACAATATAAAGGACTCTATACATTTTGTACCGCAATGAGCTTTGCCGCCCAGATTTGATTAAAATTATATTGTTGGTTTACCAAATATTATTGCGCCATAAAGTTACTGTGAATTTAATTAACTCGGAGCTACCTATAAATATATCATGAAACTAACATTGTCTTACATTGGGCTGCATCGTAAAGTTAACACTTCACTCAACTGGGTTGCCTAAAAATATAATTATGCGAAACGTTAACTCTGTTACATTGGGATATCCACGCTGTCGAAAGTAAGTTCATATTGGGAGGTGGTGGGCGTAGTGAAGCCAAAATGGGGTTCCTATAGGACTTGTCTCCGGGTTATTTGATACACTAATAAACACACATTTGAAAATTATGCAATTAACATTATATACATACACCATGCAATTAAGATTCTGTTCCAGGGCTAGTTTTGGTAATTGTAAGACACTTGTCCCAAGGATGATCACAACTTTTAATACATAATTCGTTATACACCTGTCCCCAGGATATACTCAACTTTCATTACCTAATTCGAAAATAATATGGAACATGATCAACACAGGAAAACCGAAGAGTTCTTTCATATTAATATAACAGTTAGCTATGTGAACTTTTCAAATGATCTGACACATCTAATAAGGAAAAGACGCGTTAATTTCTCAATATCTTAGTCGAATAGTGAAGAAAAAAAAACATGGTCAAATTTTAAGTTACGCCAGAAAATGGTTCCTATTCTCGAGCGAAATGCCAAATTGATTGTGTAAGGCTGTATAAGGCTACTCCTCTTACTATGGTTCGACTTCTGCCAAATATAACTACCGGATTTGTTTCCGACACCCGGTTAGAATCAATTTGGTTTCTCTTACTACATGTCCGTGCGTCTTTAAGGAAAACTATCACAGTGAAGGTTCGGTCTCCTCAAGTCAACAAGAAACAGAATAATTTGTTTTGGCTCGATCAACTAAACATCTACAAAGAATCGAGAGTGTGTTCTACAAATAGCAAATATTTACCCCATTCCTAAAGGTCCAGAGTAGAGAACTGTTCCAAAGAATATAGCATTGTAACATTGTACGGGAACGAAGCAAGGTGTTTTACAAGGAGTCTCTCTTACACCATGTTTCTTTTATCATTTATCATCGTGTTATGTTCTTTTCAAGGTAAGAATTACTTATAGATATAAATTCATTTCTACTCTTATATTATCCCGAGTCGGTTGAAGTAAAAAGACGGATAGTGAAATGGATTCCTTCCGTCCCAGCGATTTGTTTTTGAAGCATATCTTAATAACCGCTGAAGTCATATTTTTAAACCTAATTAAACACTAGCTTATGCATTCGGATTATTAGACAAATCTATGCTGGGTATTGTTTATGCTTCCATGGAATCAAATTTGACTTATTTTAAGGTGTGCAATTATTATTAATACTTAGAAACCGTCCAAAATTGTATTCGATGGAAACAAATTAATTGACTTTAACCTGGTTGTCAATTATTATTCCGGGATACTATACAAAAAACATGCAAGATAACTCTATGAATCATTTTAGACACCGGTTTTGGTTGAATAGTTTTAGTAATTAAATGAAAACAGGTTTGATTTTTCCGACAGACGCCAAGTTTCCTAAGCGAGTGTGTCTTTGATCTTCTAATTTAATATTCCTGTAAATAAATGGGGGCTGCATTTCAAAAATTTAAACTGCTGTGTTTTTTCGGGGTTTTTTGTTTTTTTTAATTTTTGAACATGAAAAGACATGAACGTTATATTAATATAAGTGATGCACATAATGTGCGAATTTGTCAAAGCATATTCCTATTTCTGTTAAATAATGATTTTAATAATTATAATAAGATTTCAAATACATTCAGTAAATCGACTTTGTTTTTAGTGTTGTTCTATCGTGGTTATTTTTTCTTAAGCGTTTGTGAAGAGAATTAGAATCTAAATTGTCCCGGTTTTAATTTTCTGTTCCTGGTGAAGACATCCCAGATTCCCCCAATCGGTTATTTCTTTGGTCTTCGTGAGTTGGTTGTCGATTTCGGGCTCTTAAAAAAATATGTTCCAGAACGAATCATGAGAGTCAATTATTCTTTCAGATCTGTTTTATTCCCTTTCATACGTCCATACTACAATGTGGTCGTTGCCATGTTCGCCGGTCCGTCTGCTTGTTTGCGATTTCATAATTAACACTTTACAGACTTTTCATGAATTTGTATTTCAAATACGTAGGGATTGGTTACAAAAAAGAACTACATCGAAATTAAAATGATTTCGATCATAACCCTTGGAGTTATCTCTCCTTTCACTGTTGGGATTAAGAAATCGCCTTGAGCTTGGTAAATATAAAACCCGTATTGATTTCTGACATTTGCCATATGTTCAAAGGAAGAGTCTTGTTTCTCAGCAAAGTTAAGACCGGATCTTCATGAAATTTGTTCAGCTACCGATTTCCGATAACAATAATTCTACGACCGTAACAAAGTTTTTGTAGCGCGGACGACAAAAGCTCATTGTGAGTCCGTTGTAAATGATACTCTGTATTTAATAGCTAATCATTTATATTTAAGTCTATAAAAAGTTAAGGATCACGGTGGCTAAGTGGCTAAGACGCTGGCTCGCTAGCCTGGAGGTCGGGTGTTCTTTCTCTGCATTGGCCGAGAAAGTTCATCCAGATTTTCCGCCGTGGTTCCCCCTTGTCAGTGATGCAGGAAAGGGAGCCTGACAAGGACAGCTGTCTAGTCGTTTGGATGGGACGAAAAACCGAGGTCCCGTTTACACATTGACGTGCACTTTAAAGATCCCTTGACAGTTGGAATTCGATATAAGAGTAGGCCGTAGAGCCGTAGAGCCGCTGTCCGGGCAAAATTTCCCTCATCGCACACTGTATGGCGTATGCCCATCTTCATTAGCCCAGTTCGGAGCAGAACAGTAGGACGTTAAAACTCATTTTATTTCATCTCATTTTATTTCTATAAAACGTTTGAGTGAAAGATATTGTCGAGTGGGCATGTCTGGAAAAGTGTGAAAACAGCTTTCATCAATACCTATGATGATATAGTGGATATCACGGTTACTGCAAAAAGCCGAGAACAGTGGAAGAAACCTGTGACAGAGATGTCACCCAAGGTGAACGGAAGAAACCTATAGTAAAGATAACATGGACTCGAGGACCTTCCATTATGAAACATTTTTGCAGTCATTTTAAACAAAGAAAATTCTCTGCGACAGACATATTTATTTTGGAATGCTTACAAAAATGAATTATTGAATTAGCTTACAAGCATTTTTCAATTACGTTAGCAGTATGCGTGAGTAGACGCTAACACATACAAAGTTGGATGTCACAAAATCTTCTAAAATTGAACGATGGAAAAAACGAATATCTTTTTAATAGCTCGAAGTCCATGACAACAATTCAATCTCAATATTCAGGAACACGCCTAATATCCCAATCAAAATCAGCACGATATATCGACGGAATATTTGATTATTATCTGAATATGGAAGCCTATATCAATTACCTATGTAAAAGTTAGCATTATCATATACGCAATATCGGCAAAATTAGAAAGTCCACCTCTCCAGATGCAACCAGATCTTTAGTCAGTTCTATCTTCATGGCGCGATACTCACAGGCCTTCCACTTAAACTCTAAGATAAACTTCAAAAAGGTCCAAAACTCGGCGGCACGATTTATTTCTCGAACAAAATGCTCGTTACATGTCACCGGCCTACCATTAGCATATAGAATATAATACAAAATATTAGTACTTGCGTTTAAATGCCTGAATACTTTGGCCCCGCCTATATCTTTCTGGGCTTGTAGATCTACTCACACGTCATTACTTATACAGCGCTCTTGTTATTTATCATCATGTACAAGCACCATTGTTATGGAATAAATTACCAATTCAAATTCGTAATGTCACTGCTATTGCTACTTTTAATTAAATCTAAACTAAAGACATGTTTATTTAAAAAGGCCTTTATCGAGTGATCCTTTAGAACTATCTTAATTTCTAATTGCGTGTAATTTTATCTAAATAACAAGTTTTATTTATATATATTTTATCAAGTATATTCTCTTTGTTATCTCATTTACTACGTAACTGTAATATTGGCAGTTGTGCACTACGGAAATGTGTATAATAATACAAGAATAATTTTATTAAACGAATAATCGATAGACTAAGTGATGCATGTCAACAGCTGTATTTAATGTCTTCTATATATCTGAGTTTTATAGTCAATTAGCCGATTAGTACTTTTACAGTGAAATTAAACTCGTATTAAATGTGCTCTATGACCTAACTTATGACTAAAAAATGAGAAGTATAGTTAAATAATGTATAGATTAGACCTTTGAGATAAAACCTGCACACTGAACTTTTCTCGTACAGGAATTAACTAGATGGAAAGTAAATCTATATTTGTCCTCCACATTTTCATATTTATTGAATATTGAATGTTCTTTAAAGGTAGTAGTAGAGTTATGGGGTTCGGTTGTTAACATCTAAATCGTCTTTGTATTTTAAAGACCCAACCGTCCACAAACACCTCTTGAGTGGTCATTCTTTTGCTCCGTTCTATCGTGATCGCACGTGGACAAAACCCGTCCCATGAATGTGGACAATGATTATCAGACTTTATATTTAACTGTTGACAAATACCACTTGCCGATAATCATTTTAGATCCCTTTATATTGTTATCGGCTGAGGACAAAACTCCATTCCAAGAATGTGTACGATGTTGGGTCAATTGGCTATACCCGACTTTTTTATTTGTTCTTAATTTTGTTTCGTTCTCTTTTTTTTCGGTCAAGCTAGGAATTTTTGGACGGAGAAAAAAAGATAAAAGAGATTCAATAATGGGTTTATTTTTGGGCAAGATCTGGAAAAGTTGGTTAGTTATATCGTCGTTCTACGTTCATTTCGTTAGTATGACCGACACAACACATACGAATTGGATGTTTTAAAAACATATTTTTTTGCCGTTTTGGTAAACATATCTTTTTGGTAAACATATCTTTGCCAACATTAATATATTTAAAATCTATTTCATTTACCTGACCATTACTCCTGAAAGATACGACTGAATGAAACAAACATTGCGATAAGTAAAAACATACGGACTAAAACTCTTTGATAATCAAATGTCAATCGACCCCCTGAGCTACATACCGTTCTTGTGAAAATTTAAGAGCTGCCTAATCCCAACCAGACTATTGTTCAAGACCTCAACTAGGAAGCAATATTTTATAGTTTAACTGCCAATGTGTCATGTTTATTATATGTTTTGTAGAATTGTGCATTTTGATTCAGTGGGAGCTATGACTGAGAACAGATCGGATCTCTCTCTTTCTTGCAAATATATTGTTTAATTTTCTATGTTTATATAGAAGTAATATAATTTGGACCCAGTATTAATTAGCACTTACTATTAGGATCGCATTCTCTGTATCTAAAACTACATTTCCAGGGCGACAAAATGCAATTATAACATTTACAAAAAGACCAGATTGCTTTTATTGACACAAAGAAAACGTTCATTTCTTTTCTTTTTTGGGGGGGTTGGATGGCTGAATGGTTAGCGTGCGCGCGCTGTATCATAAAGTCTGTCACTGAGTCGACTGGCGTGGTTTCGAATCCCCGGTTGTACGTGGCAAGGAGTAGGGTCGCATGTCCAACCTCGTGGGTTTTCTCCGGGGCCTCCGGTTTCCTCCCACTGCTAAAGACCCCTACGCGCAAGCGAATTATGTAAATAAAATTAAAAACCATATGTTAGTCCCGAAATGACCTAGTTTGTGTCGAGTGGACGTTAAACCCCATTTCTCTCTCTCTCTCTTTTCTTTTTTAAAACACCTCTGTATACCAATGTATCACAAAATGCCATTATACAATTTGGAATAGGGTCACATCAGTTTGTTCAGCTTTCTCTCTACAATTGATGGGATGATAATTAAACAAAGGATATGACCTAAAATAGAAATATTTACCTCTTAAAGATACATTATGTGAGATAAGATAAAGAGATGGCAGTTCTCGCTATAATAGTTAAAAACTAGATAGTGTAAAGGTAATTTGGTGAAAATTTCAGTCAAATTGATCCACTATGAGCAGAGAAAGAAGCCGGTGAAATTTTTGCATAGTCTCGGTCATCATTACTAAAATCATTAATATAAACAGCATAGTCTCGATATCCACTTTTTCTGATTTAATTATCAACGGCCGTTAGCGGCATATAGGAATCTAATCCAGCCAACATCGAAGGCTAGCCTTGACATCGAGAGTTTATTATGGTCTGGATAAGTTAATTAATGTCTAATTGATAATTTAGATAACATTTCAGGCCTAAAGAAAGACTTGTAATAAGCAGATTTTGCTCTTGCATAATGCATGTTTAAGTATCGACTTTATTGCAATTTGTGAAATCTTGTAGATGACGAAAGCAATCCTGTAAAAATCGATTAACGTATTGGAACGCCCTTTAAAAAGTTAAACATGACGTCAGGCGCTGAACAATCAAAAACATGACTGACACCTTGGCACGTTAAGAGATGATATTTAATGTACGAGATCAACTATATTTGTCACTCAATTATAAAACTTGCTAAATTAAAAAAATAGACCACACGGAGTCGCCTTTTCTGTTGACTAGTTTTTAAAAAAATCCAAAACATCAGTTTTTTTTCGTAGACAAATTCATACAGACTACACACTACTGTAAATTAAAAACGTATGCTACTTTGTTGACTCTATTTAACTGTTTAAAGAATTATTTAAGATCGGTAAACTATTTCAGCTATACTAACACCCAAAATAAAGTTTATTATTAAAGACTTAGCGAGACTACACTGAATGAAACCTAAAGACTGGCGAGACTACACTGAATAAAACCTAAAGACTGCTGAATTGCTTAAGTGTCATTTTAGTAATTGGTCACATTAAATAATAAAACGAGAAACTCGTATGGAATTTAAATTCTGAATTTAATAGGAGCAACGTTTCAACAACGAGGCTCTGTCCAACAAATGTTTATGTTTTATACGAAGCTGTTTTATAGTGAAAAAAAATATATAATATAGCGGATATCAAACTGGAACAAACTTTGCGTTTTGGTGTCAAGTAGCTAAATAAAACACGGATTTACTTAAAGGAGCATTATGTAAGATTTGGATAAAGAACTCGCCGTTTTCGCTATAATATTTCAAAATTAAATAATGCGAAATAAATATATTAAACATTTCATTCAAATTACTTTATTTTAAGCGAAGTTATCAGTGGTTTGAGCGAAGTTATCAATGGCTGTAGTCTTGACAAGATGTGTGCATTGATCGTTACCACCGTACTGGCCACTCGAGTCTTAGCCTAGCTTCTCCATTTTTAAATCAAATCATGAAATGGCCGAACCGTTCTAATCAACTTAAAATCGGAGCAATCCGATGACACCGAGGGTTGATTATGGTCATGTCATGTTAATAAATGTCTAATTAATAATTTATATAACATTTAAGGCCTGAAGAAAGACTACATGTCATTTTAATGTGTTCTTGTTATAGTTGTTTAGTAGAAGTAGCACAGAAAAGTAATGCTTTAGAAATATGTGTCATTATAATAATACCAATTCATCACATACCGTTCAATAATTTGTTTCCTGTATTGCCTAGCATTAGATTGGCCCTAATTGTATTGACATATTAGTTAGGTGGTTAAAAACGCATTATGTAAGAGTTAAATAAACAGCTGGTCGTTTTGCTATAGTATTTATAAAGTGGATAATTCAAAATTAATATATCGAAAATTTTAATCGAAGTACTTTATTCTGAGTGAAGTAATATTTGAAGTTTTGACAAAATTTAGTCTAAATAGTCTCGATTTTCAAGAACTATGGCTTCGATAATGAACGGAAGTACCGGTCCCATTTTAAAGTAGCTAAGTCTCTAACTCAATATCATCCAAAATCTTCGACATTGAAAACACGATTTATTTGTCGGTTTAAATCAACATTGATGTTGTGATCTTACCGGGAAAAGATGGCCTTCTGATATCCAATATTTAAGACAAAATAAACATTTTACAATTGGTACACGAATCGTGTACCATAATGCGTTTCAACACTATTTGTAATAAGGGACTCGAAAAACGAAGCTAGGCATATTCCACAAGTCAGGTCAAACGATGACGCTATATTCTTATCTGGAGAGCATGCCCAATAAATACTATCGGCGTAGACTGGAATAACCAGACGCTAGAGATTGAAATTCGATTGAGAATACTAGCGTATTTCGCCGAACCTAACTGATTAGAAATTACAGTAAAAACAGAAACGATTGAATGTAAATCAATTTATATACATTCATATTACATTATTGTATGCGTTGCGATCCATTTGTGTCAATCTCTAGGTCCCAAATATTTGCGATTTAGCTCCTTTAAGGTTCTAATCCTTATAATATTCCAGCCATCCGATGGCCTAAAGAGATGATTATTGGCTTGACAGGTGAAAAATATCTAAATAATAAGTTATTTAACATTTGAAGCCATAACAAAGACCCGCAATAGGAAGGTTGAGCTCATACATATCGGACACTAGACATTAAATTAATTTAGCCATCCGATGGCCTACAGAGATGATTTTTGACTTGACAGGTGAAAAGAAAAATATCTAAATAATAATTTTTATACAACATTTGAAGCCATAACAAAGACTTGTAATAGGAAGATTTAGCTCATACATATCGGACACTCGACATTAAATTAATTTTTACTTTTAGGGGGCTTTATTGTAAAACACAATAGTGCTGCTTCCCATCTTCCGTATATTACATCTGTTGTATACAAGTAATAATTATTATTTCTAGTAGAAATTTTAATAAATTGGACAAATCAACACATTGTACTTTTCTATGTATACTACATAATTTTATGAAACGTAATATTAACTTGGTAATATGTCAAATATTATTGTTATTGTTCTGATGATTTACCTCTAAAAAGACAATTTTTGTCGAGTTAATTGAGTCAGCGCGCTATGTTATATGTGTCCATTTCGTTTTAAATGTGTCCGTTTGCGTTAAGATATTCCTATTCTGAAGCTTTGTCGACATATTCCATTTCGTCGTAGTATATGTCGACATATTCGCGAAATATCGCCATGCGCTATGTCGACGTGTGTATTTAAATTGAAAGAACGGCATACAACATAGCGAGTTATTCAATTAACTCGGCAAAAATTGTCTTTTCAGAAATAAAATCATCAGAACAATCACAATTTGTTGACATATTACGAACTTAATATTGCGGTATCTATCGTACTATTTACCCCTATACGCTTCCATACATACCCGACCTTGTCTGGCTTAAAACAAATCTAATGTAATTTTCCAAAAGTCGACCATCTGTCTAAAAAGGGTCTAATGAACGACGGTCTCGTCGCGACCTCTGTCTAACCAACAACCAGATGTATGTCAACAAGTAAAACCACCATTTACTTAAACATGGGACCTCAAACTTTACTTAGTTAAAACATCAATATTGAAATAGATTATATCATCAACGAAACAACGGTTTCTTCTATTGGATCTACAAAGAAAAACAATGTCGATGTTTTACGTGGTTGTATTGTATATACATACGTCAGCGCTCCGATAATTTTTCTTTCTATTACGATAAAAGAAATAATCCTTTATATAATATTGGGTTAAAGCTTTAAGTATTATAGTGTCGCCATATAAAGAATTAATATGTCTGATTTTGAATTTCATCCTAATTTCATATTGTTTGATTAGAAGAGACCCTGAAAGAAAATGTCGCCGAAATTTTACTTTTTGGCATATGGCCATGAATTGAACAAACATATTTCAACTATTTACCCATAGATTATAATTAGTTTTCTTTGTTCATTATCACATTGCATTAAGTTGAAACGCAAATAAAAGCTACAAAAAACAAATCACGACCTAGTAACATGTGTTATCTTTCATAAATTTATCTTGAAACTGTCTATATTTAAATGTCGGAGAAATACTTTTGGGACACCATTTCTCTAATGCTTTAAACAGAACACAACTTTTATGGGAAAACAATCACTGGTTTTATTCTAAAAGCACAACGTTACGAAAAATATTCTCTTATCGTTATAGAGCACAGTGATAACGACAAGAGGGCACACGTCGAAACGTCGTGCTTTTGGAATAAAGCCAGTTTTCGATTTCCTATAAAAATTGTGTTCTGTTCAATGTGTTCCACAATCCGTAAACGCCACTTAAGGATTAAACTTTTCTGCTAACTAAAAGAATCTATCAACTTGGGGTATATGTTCAGTAGGTGTATGTATGTCTTCACCGAATTCGATTATAAGCATTATCTGGAACACAAAAACGTTTATTCTAGTTGTGTTTGGGTTATGTACGGTTGTATAGTTTCATTACGTCAATACCTTGACTGACTCAAGCGATAACTAATTAGATTGATCGGTGCTTTCTAAAAATATAAATATTATTCATCTATTTATTTGGGGATTAAGGCAGCAGGCATTGATCTCCGTGTTGGCTCATATATAATGCATTATATTTAAATTATTGAAAATTTACACACAAAACATGTTCATATCAAGGATAACGCGCAAGGCGCGAAATCTGTAGCGCAAAATACAAACCAGAAGAAATACTGGAATATGCCTTGCCAAATGAGATAAAGAGATGCCCCCCCCCCCCCCGAGTGATAATTAAAATATAGACTATTATGCAAAACTGATCAAAATTATATGTCATAAAAACTCGAAACAACTGATGTGGAGTCCCTATTATAACAAGTGTTGTCAAGATTATTATCCCGGTCGGAACAAAACAGTAGTACGTTAAACTCCATTCCATTTCTTTTCATCGAATACATTCCCCCAAATCCCTATTTTAACAAAACGAAAAATCTTCGCTATAGTAATCTTTTCATGTTCAGATTAGTCACATCATATGTGACGTATTTATTTAATTCATTTAGGATTCAAAATCTGCAATACAACTCATTGTTTGTAAAATTAATTTCAGTTTCGAGTGGAGTTATGTGTTATTGGTGTAGTGGGGTTGGTGATGACCGAGATTGTGAACAACATCCATACGCTGTACAAACCGGGCCTGTATTCCTCAACTGTCGAGCCCATTTTTGCTTATCAGTTAAAGTTATCGATGCTGGTAAGTACCACACGTTCTCTTTTACGCATATTGAAGCCCTGCTAGGAACAAAAATTAAAAGTTTTGAATTCCGTTGTTGACAAACAATATTAGATTTGAATTATGTTGTTGACAAACAATAATGGATTCGAATTTCATTTTTGACCGAAAGGGGTGTGAATTCCGATGTTAACCAAACGGGGCATTTATTAACTATGCTGGGACTTTTCTAGCCAAGTTTCAATCTCCAGGGGTAAAGGTTGATCTATATCCCAAGAGAGTATGGGAGTTTTAGTAAGACATTAAACATCTTTTTATATTGTATTACAGATTCAGGTAGAGTCAAATCGTTTGCTAGATTATGTGATAACGTCCCTAGAGATAATGTCTGTATCCAGGATTCCAAGCTATTGACCTGTTACGAATCATGTACGGATGATCTTTGCAACAGTGGAAACCCCGACCCCGAGTTCCTGCCAATTACAAACTATGCATCAGCAGCAACCAAACGACCAGAGAGTAAAGGTCTCAAAGGGAACATCTTCGGTCAGTACAGCGATAATAAAGGTGTGGGGATGTTCAAATCTGGTAGACGAGGCAATCAACAAAATAGAATGAATAACGCCAGAGATCGACTATTGTCCAACGCTTTTCGGGGGTCTAATGCAGGAAGAGAAAATTTCAAATCAACTCGCCGTGACGACCAAGTTCCTAGACCAAGATCGAATAAAAATGTTGAGGTGGTGACACAAGCTAACCTAAAGCTCACAAAGAAAAGCGTGAAATATGTGACGGATTCTAAGAATAAGGCAACGATTAAAACATCTCCACTCAATTTACGAACCTCCACCTCAGTTTCGACCTCGGTGACAACCGTGTCTCATGGGTCACAGCTCATCAACGCTTCGGCTTCCACTCCAATTACCACCCTATCCATGTCGGAATCGACACAAAAACTCCCTTTTGACCATTACGATATGAAAACAGCTGAGATAACTACCATGTCTGAGAAAAGTCAAATGATGGGCTCTAATTACAAACTTGCCAAGGTCAATGACGTCGGCGAAAAATCAGATTTAAAACAAGAATACAAATCCACGGCAAAGGTTCGTAATCCTAAACCTCCCAAGACTATAGAGTATACTTTCGGGGCTTCTTCTGATACAGGACACAATGAAACAACTTTCGAGACGGGTATCACTAATATGATCACTCCAAGTGCGAATAAAGTTATGAAGTCTTCATCCGTAACCAAACCCCAGAAAGACAAAGCGCACATAACAACTGTTAGAGTCGATATGACAGGTGAACGGGTGACTAACAGCGACAACAAGGCACGTGTCACTAAATCAGCAACAGAATTAAGAACAGAGCCTCCATCTACTAAAATTCCCTCCATTCCGCTTATTGCTCCAAATAACGTAGCAAACATGGAAAAGCCCGTTACAGCAATCGGACCCGAAAAGTGGGATGATTTGCAGGGACTTGAAGTTCTCGATGACGACGAAAATACTTTTGCATTTAACAGTCACCCTCGTAACCCTGACTTTCCAAAGCACAAGCATAAGAAACGAACCCATATCCCCTCCAGAAAAATCGAAAGCGTCAATGGTATAGTCATCTGGCCCATGAAAGAAGATAGTCATGAAGATCATAGCTCTAGCAACATCTTCAACGAAGATAAAGAAGAAGCTTTCATTGAGCCCTACCGAGGAAACACTACCGCTGTTCATCTAAATGACAATCTTAAAGCCACAACCAAGAGAATTAATTCAAGCCGAACAACAGATAATGCAACTGAATCATCGGTTGGCAACTCGCTAACGCCATCAAAAAATATCGGTTCTTCCGTAACGAAATCATCTACACAGACCAGCCCTAATACCCCTATCACTACCATGGGTTCGTTACTAAGAAAATCCACAGTAAGTCTTACTTCTGGAAAACCTGTTCTTAGTAAGACGAATTTAGTTTTAGCTAAGAAAGGAAACGCTTCACAGAATTATAGAGAACAGGATAAAGAATCCACCACGAAATCAAACGATAACACTAAGATTAATCCCGAGATGTCTACCAAATCTTTTGAGTGGAACAGATCAACTCGTCAGTACGCGGCCAAGTTATCGGACGTCTGGAATGAAGTAGGAACCACCATCATTGTTAGTAAACAGAACGACTTACCGATTCCCGCAGAATATCCGTCTTTTATTGAGGAAGAACTGATCGAATACCCGGTATTTGAAAACGAAGTAAGCGGCTGGAAAGACACAACAGAAGACTTAATGCAAGTTGCTGGTTACCAGGATGAAAACCTGGATTCTTCAAGTCATTCGTATGTTATTCGGTCATATGTGCTCTGCGTTTGTTTGATGTGCGCGTTTATTGTGTTGTGACAGTAACCTGTGTTAGTCTTAAATGACTTACGCGAACTAAACGAATATATTTAATAATAAAACCAATGGGAAGAGACGTTGGTCAGGTATCACATCATCGTGTATTTTACATAAATGTATATAAACATGAATTAATAATACTTAAAATCACGTGGATGATACCTATAAACATGTATAATATTCCATAAAGATACCAATCCCGTCGTGCGAAAAGGAAGATTGTGTGGTGGAGTTGAACAAGTACACCTGCTACAAATGTCTAGTCTCAAGCTTGAGTGAGAACCGTAGGCAAATAAATTAGAACGTTTTCTTTCTTTTCAGGCAAACTGTTGGTCTCTTTAAGTATGAGATCCCCCACTGTATATAGTGTAAAATGGAATCAGGTTTGTTTGTATATAAGTAGTAAGCTTTATAAGTAGCTTTAGGTTGAGTAGATATGTTAGGACAATTACGTGGCTTGTTATGCTATCGAGTGTAACCCCATATAACATGTGTTTAATTCCCCAACTAATGTTTTAATGGTGTTATAAGTAAGTACCTTTAAATTACTTTGTATTGAGACGGATGGGGTATACCATATTGGGTTTGAGTCCGCTGGATAATTGAACACTGTTAGTCCAGGCGATAAACTCTTGATTAACAAGAATAAAATCGATCCTGGCGGGTTATCGGAAAAAACAAAATTCAAATGAACGAAATGAAACATCAGTATGGCGATATGGTCTAGGAACGTGTCATTGTGACAGAAGGACTATATAACTAGAAATCTTTTAAACTCGAGCCCAGTGTAGATCTAATCCGTCTCTGTTTGTTGAGTATGTTCACATCACCTGTTTTATATAAGCATGATATTATTAAATTTGAAGAGAACCTTTCACAATCCGCTTTTATTTTGTTCAACAGGAAAGGTAAATATTGACGTATACGATATAGTATACTGCTTTTAATATTGTTGCACCGCAGTTCAAAATCATATATGTATTCCCATACAAAATCGCGAATTAATATCTAATTTCAATAACTTAGATATTCCAAGTCTAATGAGAATTTATTCCGATGGGAATCTTGTATGTTTAAGGGGTACGTGATGGGTGGTAAATGTATTTCTGTAGCTGACTTAAATATCTATATTTTACACATGGAAGGGATAGGTTTCACACCCATTAAGAAGAAATTGCTAATGACAAACCTTGATTTGTTTGGGGTGTTCAACCTAGTTTACTACGTTATTTTGACTTACATTAAAGAGGTGTACCCCATTTAAAACATTATTCGCCAGAAGGGGTTTTAACATTTCTTAATTATTTGCACAGTATAACCATACCAAAAATCGATAGAACAGCAATTTGATATTCTTAGTGGGTTTTATTTCGATCGTTTTCGATTTAAATATCAAGCATCAAGTAAAGTATGAAAATGTTTACACTATTTTGTACTGATTTTGTTGCACCGCTAGTTTAGATGTATATGTATATATTATTGTGGCTGCATGTTAATTCGAATCAATGTTCAAAGGGTATGTATTTGATTTAAGTCAGCTTTTGAATACAAAATCAGTTACATATTAACTAGTTTATCTGTGGATGTTAACTGTTAATGGAGTCAGATTTACGTTTAAAAAATCAAAACAAATATTTTGTAATCAACTAGGTCTTGGCCTCTGTAATATTAATTCGAATTAACTAATGTACGTGTAAATACAATATAAAACGTGGGCTTAACTGTACACGTATTTGGTAAGTTAGGTGACATATCACCGCACTGTGTTGCCGTGTTCAATCTGTTGTTTTCATGTCGTGTGTAATTCACGGTAAAAGTTTTGAGTTCTAATGAATCATGTTTCGGCTGTGGTATCCCATGGTTTTTAGTTCCTGTGTTCTACGCATGTGCCAAACAATGTGTTATAAAATAAAACACCCAAATGTGCTGCGGGGGTTGTTTTTACTACTTGATGTGAGTTTTGTGTATTTTGGTGCTGGTATTTAAGACAATTGTTTTCTTTCTTTGTTTATTCAAGGTAAGTCTCGTGTAAACGAGAACCAGAACAAAAAGAACTTGGAGAAAACAAATATGGCGGTTACATTACTTGTTTTTATATCGTAGTTCGCTTCCTTTTCCATTTAGGTGATTTTCAAAGAAACCGATAGGAAATTTGGCCTTTTTACTGAGAGGTAAGATACGGTAGACATTATTCCAAAAAGATGTTTTTTTTGTAATCCGGTTTTATAAGCTATATCGTGTTTTTCACCGAACGGTAAGATTGGGTGGGGTGTATTTAAAAGGTATTCTTTAACCCATTTTTCGGTCATCTGGATATATATATATATATAGAGAGAGAGAAAGATATCTAGATGGATACCAATTACGAAAATGATAATACCCGTCGGTGCTATAAATGCAAAAGTACAACAGTCATTTGAACTCCTCAACTGAGAAATAGTACAAGATATGCTATTCTTCGCCAAAGAGTCATCTGTTAGCTTGGTGACCCCTCAATTAAAAAGTAGCACTGTATGCTCTAGAACGAGTAGGACTACCCAGCCTAGTGATAGACATAATGCCACTACTTGTAGCTAAATATATCAATGGGTTGGACCGTAATTTAATGCCATGTCGAAATAGAAAATATGAAAAATTAGGATTCCTTTTTCTACGCAAATTTTGGATGATTGAAATTCCCTATGCTTGTAAAATTACGCCTGGTTAACAGACGTTTCGGTGATAAAATAATGTTAATAAATTAAACCACTTCATTAAAGAAAAGGGAACGTAAAAAAACATACGCGAGAAGACATCGAGACACTGAAGTTGCTATAATGATTCATTAGTATGTAAATTTTCACCCTTTTATTCATAGTTAATAATATACATCTTAACGGAATATTAGTATTAATAAGTTAGGTTCATACAGTGAAGAATCGGAAACTTGATTTTCAATTTGATCGGAAATAAAAAGAATTAAAAAGAATCCGGATTCAGAATCGATCGGCTTTGTTTCATTCAACGCGCCCTTAGGTAACTTTCGACAATGGAGATTTAACAAACGAAACCGTATGAAGGGGCGTGGCTGTTGAAATAGGGATTAAATTGTCCAGTAGTGAAATATTTCAAATTGTAACTGAAAATCTATGTACAAAATTGTTACTGTTTGCTACGTTGTCAGGCGACTGGGGGTGTGTAACAATGTAACAAATTATTGGATGACGTCGAATGAAAATTTTACAGTACCACTGATCATAAAATTTAATCAAAATACAAATCCGAAATACAAAAAGGTGAAACAGCGAATTAATGAATTAAATGGCCTTTCTCCTAATAAGGAATGGTTGTCAGCTGGCGATTCCCTGGTGTTTCTGTATCTATATATATATATATATATATATATATATATATATTCGCATGATCAACATAATGTGGCTAAATAATACCTTTTAAGTTCATATTTGAAATGGTTATACATCAGCCAAAGAAGTTTAGAAATGAGAAAACCGTGAGTCGTCTTCATCTTTTGGTCGCGTTTTGTATTGTTAATATACGGGTATTTTACTGTAAATGTAGTTTTGTTTCTTGTATGTGTTATTATTATTTTATTTCTTTGTAATTTATTTGTTTTTTCTGTAAACATCTGTTTCATTTTGATACACATATTGCGATAGACCATAAAAGATTTAATCCGATAAATATATTTGTTGCTCGCTGTTTTTTCTGTTGATTCCACAATGAAAATGTTACTAAATTCGAAAAGAAAACATAAAAAAATTGTTAGGGATAATTGTTTGATTATTCGCTGATTTGGCTGTTGATCCCACATTGAAAGTCTACGTATAAAAAATTTGGGATTGTTCGTTTTTGTTGTTTTTGGGGGTTTTTTTTGTCTGTTGATCAAACAATGAAAGTATTTCGTAATTCGAAAAAAAAACACCAAAGAGTTTTACAGTTGCTAGGTTTAATAAATGTGTGATTGACGTACACTATTACGGGGCCTCCTGTTTGCGTTAACATAGTAGTTTATTCGTGTCGGTTCAAATTGTCTTAAGGTCGACTAGTTATCTGAATTAATGAGCTTACCTAGACCAGATCAATAGTATGTGACTGCTGCGTTTATGTTGGTTTTGCAATTTAAAATGAGAAAACAATTCATGTAAATAGCTGTAGATATAGCCTTTCATATTGTGCCGAAATATGAGATATAAAGAAATGAACTTCTGATTAATATTTTTGTGTTTGGTGGTTGAAGTTTAGGGAAGCTTCACTTTACCTTCGGAGATCTGGGCTAAACATAAGATCTAAAAGTAAAATGACATGGGGTTTAACGCCCTACTGTTCTGTTCCGACTGGCATAAAGAAGACGGGCCTACGCAACACAGTGTTCTGTGAGAGAAATTTTGCCCGTAGAGTGGCACTACGGCGCACTCTTATATCGAATTCCAACCACCAAGAGATCTTTTACATGCACACCAGTGTGTTCACAGGACCTCTTGTTTTCGCACCATCCGATCGACTGTATGGTGTCCCTTGCCAGGCCCCTGTCCTACACCACTGACAAGGGAGAACAATGCCGGACAATTCCGAAGCAAATTTCGAACCGGTATCGGACACGATACCTCCAGGTTAGCAAGCCAACGTCTTACTCACTGAGCCACCACAGCATTAGAACTAAAAGATAACTAGGTCGTGGTCGGGTTTAATTACAAATTGAAAATGCGTTAGCACCGTACACAAGAGACCCTTCTACAGTCGGAATTTATCTATAGAGTAGCGGCGGAAAGAAAGGCCCACGTTCTGCAAATTCTCATCCGAATTGCGTATGAAGCCTCAATAAATAAAAATAAAATACTTCTAAGATATGACTTAACGACGTAATTATTTGGATCAAGTTGTCAACGTTTTGCGTATTTAATAATGTAGGGAGAATAGGCTATGTGAGGAATACGATTAGCTTGGTTCAGTTTCGAATGCTAAAGGATTAGAACATAGAATGCTTGGTAATACAATAAGGACTTGATTTGAATGTACAGTTACATGGTGCATGTTCAAATTAGATTGTGTGTAAAATTTGTGACAATTTTGAAATGCCAACGCTAAAATATATACCTATTAACTTTCAATCTACGGGCCGGGCCGGGCAAGTGTATTTTCCAATAGTTAGCGTGCTGGCCTACATTGGTATAATCCTGTGGCGAGGCATTATGCCGTAAAACTTTTATAGGCTTCTCAATGAAAAAACCTAAAATGATATTAACGCAAATTCACCGCTGATAAATATTAACCAACAACACACGAGTCGTACACGTTTTCTACGAAGAAAAGTCGCGGTCTAAATAGGTCTGGAACTGGATTAAGTGTAAGTACATATTATTCAAAATAAATTGCATTTAATTTGGTATTGATGGTAATACTGCCTATTTAAAATAATCACGAATATGGCGTTATAAAAAAGATTACCAGAATAATCACGGTCAATGGCCATATAAGAAAGGTTACCAAAATACAATACAATATTGAACAGGGCAGCATGCGACTTTTGATTACTTTCATTATAGGTTTAGGGTTGTTTGTTGAAAAGAATTTCAAATAATTTAACACAATTAGGGATTATGTATTTTTCTTATATATTTGACTGTTGATCGATAAATAGTGAAATGTATTTAACCACCATATTTGTAATTCGTGTTTTCCGTTTCAAATATATTATAATTTGTTATATGATTATGGTGTTGGTCTTCCACTTAACGTAGTCAATATAGTTTCTAAGATAATTATTCGAGCCGGGTATAGTTACTGAGTTGTTTTGAGGGCAGTTACGAACCGAGAGCTGTTTAACCTGTTTTGAAGTCCGTTACTAAATGAGTTTGCTTTAAGCTATATCTTTGTTGCGTTTTCTTTTTGTATTATTGAACGCCAGATACAAAATACGAGGATCGAGTCAATTTTGGTTAATTTTGGTCTTTTCTAACAATGGTTTATGAGTATTACAAACAGTGTTGGTCTGTTGATGTCTTTATAAGAAAGATAAAAGACAAGATCTTTATTAATTGTGAATCAAATTAAATCTGAAAACACTCGATTAAATCGACTTACAAAGATTATGTTGTTGTTTATTATATAATGATTTTGATTGTAAATATTATTTTTATTTATTGTACATACCTTAACCAGAATAAAGTATATAAAAATATATTTTGATGAACATCGTGTTTTATTGTTGTCGTTCCTTTTGTTTCCCCTGTATCGTTTCGCCATAATATAGCAACACTCGCTTTGCAACCAATGAAAGCTTGACTTTTGAAAGGTATTTAATTGCTATGATATAGTTATCAGAAAATAATGCTATTTGGAACGAAATTAAACTAAAACGGACTATTAAACATTTTGGGTTGTTTGTTTACTAGACCGCTCACGTATCTTGATTAGGGCATTCCCGTATTCCGATGCTATTTGGAACGCAATTAAACTAAAACGGACTATTAAACATTTTGGGTTGTTTCTTTACTAGACCGTTCCCGTATCTTGATAAGAGCTTTCCCCTATTCCGATCAGTGTTTCTGTAATTATTCTAAAGGATTTTAAAACACAATCTTTTACACTATATCATTTTAGTGTATAAACAATTCTACAAAAATTAAGCCAATCTCACACTCTTGACAAATTAACAAAAAATTACTAGATCTTCTTAAGAATATATTTAAGAATTATCCCACTGGCTAGATTATGTTAATAAACTGGCCTTTCTTACAATTTCATAAACACGAGGGTCAAAGACTAGAGCCTACACCAAAATGAAAATGAAATGAAATGGGGTTTAACGTCCTACTGTTCTACTCCTAACCTGGGCTAATGAAGACGGGCATGCGCCATACAGTGTGCTATGAGAGAAATTTTGCCCGGGCAGCGGCGCTACGGCCTACTCTTATATCGAATTCCAACTGCCAAGGGATCTTTTACATGCACGCCAAGGTGTACACAGGACCTCGGTTTTTCGTCCCATCCGAACGACTAGACAGCTGTCCTTGTCAGGCTCTCCGTCCTGCATCACTGACAAGGGGAAACCACGCCGGAAAATCTGGATGAACTTTCTCGGCCAATGCTGGGATCGAACACCAGACCTCCAGGCTGGCGAGCCAGCGTCTTACCCACTTAGTCACGTGATCCCAGAGAGCCCACACCTGCGTAACTAATGAAAGACGATGTTTCGAGATTATGAAACCTCTTACACATTCCAATTAATTTAGTGATAAATAACAGGTACAGTTATTTTAACATCTCAACCGGGTAGAGAAACAAATTGGTCGTAAATTTCCCGATGTGAATTATATAATAGACTTGAGATTATGACATTAAGTTACATTTTACAATGACCGCGATGTAAATCATGCCAACCCTGTGTCATGACATAAGTTACATTTACAATGATCCCGATGTAAATCATGACAACCCTGTGACATAAGTTACATTTACAATGACCCCGATGATAATAATACCTGGCCTGTGTCATGGCATAAGTGTTGCATTTACAATGATAGGGATATTAATCATACCATACATGTGGTCATGACAAGTTACATTTACAATGATTCTATAAAATCATACCATACGTTTGTCGTGACATAAGTTACATTTACAACGATCCCTTTGTTAATCATACCAAACCTGTGTCATGACAAGTTACATTTACAATGAACTCGATAAAAATCATACCAGACCTGTGTCATGACATGTGTTACATTTAAATCTACCCCGAAGTTAATCTACCAGACCTTGATCATGACAGGAGTTACATTTACAATGATCCCGATAAAAATAATACCAGACACGTGGTCATGACATGACTAACATTATCAATGATTAACATAACACAGTTTTTATGGGATACAATCACTAGTTTATTCTAAGAGTACGGCGTTTCGACAAGTATCCTCTTATCGTTATCAAGCACAATGACATTTAGTAAACTTGAGATCAATATATATGAAATTCATAGTGAAACCATCTACATGGATTAAAATAACAGTAACAAAAAAGAATCTAAGAGGTAAAGGATATTTAACAAAATGAACAAGCACAACAAGGTAAATTAGCTTACTGAATAAACACTAATACATGAGTAGGGGGTTATTGACTAGTATGAAGACCTTCACATAGTTAGATGGAATGAGGTCCAGGTACTCACAACTAACCAACAGAACCAGAAAGCCAGGAAGATCCTACAAGCTATAAATATCATAAGATATTCACCTGAACGTAATAGGGACTTAGGGCTTCACATCCATAGGGCATATGATGCATAATATAATTTAATTATGGCAATTTAGCACCTTTAGTTGTATCAAATCCCTCAACCGTAGAAAGACAATAGTCATAGACACATAGAATGACTCAAACTAAATAAAGGAAAACACAGCTATGAACTTATCAGTAGACGCCAGTAAATACTCAATTGGGATCACGTGGTATTTTACATTTTCTTAGTGTGTCATTCACACTTAGGAATATCTCGCGGCACACCTGGTCTGGTTGAGAATCACTGCTTTATAAGTACACTTCCATAAAGCCCAGCTTATATAATCGATAACTTTAGTGTCTTGGGTCAAAATTGCGGCTGGTCCTACATGATTTCCATCAACTATTAATTATGTCCTCTTCCTTGGATCGAAGTTAGCAATTACGTTTCTTCAGGGAATTTTTCTTTGAGTTTGTCGAAAACAGCATCTTGGTCTTCTGACCATTTCCATTCGATGTTCTTGTGTGTCAATCTTCGGGATCGGGAGACGTTCCATTCCTCGAGGAAATAACCCCAAGAACGATATCTTGGATTGGCGAAATCCGTATTTCTTTTTGTTCAAGAGTTAAACCAGCTTCTTCGCGTGCTTTTAATGGTGCCTCTTATGCTCTGTCGGGATCAATTGTGGTTGCACCAAAAACTATAATATCATTTGGGATATTCTTTGTACCAGGAATATCTTGAATTATTCCTCGGATTGTTTCTTGAAACACTTCTGAGGCCGATGATATACCGAAATTCAGCCTTTTATATCTGTAAATACCCATGTGAGTATTAAATGTGGGTATATATCTGGAGAAAGCATTTAGTTCCAATTGTGATATCAAATCTAGCTTGATTAATATTTTAGCGCCATTCAAATCATAAATGAGCTCTTCCAGGATAGGTAGAATATGTCTTTCACGTAAAATTGCCTTGTCGGCTTCTCGCATGTCAACACAAAGTCTGATTTCTTCTTGATCTGTTTTCGGAGGGTGACAATCTCAGAGATCCATGGTGTAGGAATATCTTCGACTTTTTCGATTTTGTCTTCCTTATAGCTTCTCGATTTCAGCTGCAACTTTCTTCCTCAAACGGAAAGGCATTCTTCTGTTTTTGTCTGCGACTGGTTTTACGGTTTCGTCGATGTGGAGCTTGGCTGTACGCCCACTCAATTTACCAATTCCGTTAAAAAGCTTGCTGTGTGTCTCAAATGGTTCGTCAATGTCATTGACAATCTTGATTAGTCCTGTCTTAAATCCAAATAAAGATCCACGATTTCCTTTGACGACATTACATTCGACGAGTTTGTATTGGTCTATTTCTTCAACGACCAACTGTGCGCGTGCCTTTAGTTTTGGCTTCCTGTCTTTGTTTTTTGTAGGAGATCCAATTCTTTTATTTGTCTCTTCAAGGGACAATCTTTGGTCAAAGCTCTAAGTTCCGTCACGAACTCATCAAAAGTTTGACCATCTTTTGTTTTCAATTCTGGAAGTCGTATTCAGCCATGGTGTCATTCTTCTTTGGCTCAAAAACACCATTGATAACTTATACAGTGGCATCATATGTTTCTTCGACTTCACCTTTATTTGCGTCATAAACATCAAAGACGTCTTCACCAGCATAATGAAGGAGTAAGGCTCTACGTCGTTCATCATTTGTGATTGCCATACCCGTGAACATATTCTCAAGCCTTTGCACGTACTTCTTCCATCTTTTCCAACATTTGTTTTTCAGTTTTGTCAATTTGAATGACTGGGAAGATTGGAAAGGCAGAATCCATTTTGTTTTGGCTCAACCAAATTTTCAGTTTCAATCTTTGGGTTCAGACTTTTCTAAGACGAAATTAGCTTTATATGGTGGCAGGATTACTCTTCTTCATTTTCCACTGATCCTCGTCGCCAATGTAATGGCCCATTAGCTCATTATAGTCAATGGATTAATAGATTAGGCTTTATGGTGGAACATGTGCTTTGGTAGATAGTAAGACACTATGGATGCCCCCTAGTCATGTGTCCACTAGGCCTAGAGTGTACAGCAGATCATGTGATAGGTCATGTGAGTTATTTATAGATACTTAAAGGAGAAGTGCTTGAATTTGAATAGATTTGAGGATATTACATCATTCATAACAGTTGAGTGGTCATGACATAAGTTGCGTTTATAGTGATCTTGTTTACATGGTTTAATATCACACATCTTATTTGTATATATGAAGGTAAATGAAATGAAATGGGGTTATACGTCCTACTGTTTTGCTCCTAAACTGGGCTAATGCAGACGGGCATACGCAATACAGTGTGCTATAAGGGAAATTTTGCATATGTAGCACTATGCAGCATGCCAAAAAATCCCCACATCCAACGTGTGACGCACACTCTCTTCTCTGCTACATATCTTATTAGCCTTGTGATCGTCTAGTAGTGTCTCTGGTTATATTTGTAATTCTCTACTTGGGACTCCACATTAAACGTTGTGGATTTATTCAGTTTATCGTTGCACACGGGAATAACAATACCACAGTTCGTTTCTAAAGTTTTATGTCAAGCACATTTTATTCAGTTTGTCTGAATGAGATTGGGGAACAGGGTTAGCCTATGTAAAACCCCTCTCTCTAGATTATATACATGCATAATATTAAAACAAAGGAACAAAATGGGTGTATATACACAGTTAAAATGGCAAACACATACATAAATATATGTAAATACATATATCAAGAGACGGATGGCAATGTACAATATATATTATATGTTACATCATCACATAAATTTAAAACTAATATTGTAAATTAAAACAATTAATAAGCAAGATTAAAATCTGTTTGACATGTCAATAAACTTGTGGACTTGATTAAAAATATTGTTGTTTACATCTGTACAGTGTTTTGTGGACCCGAACAAGAGGTAGTTAATGTTTTTATGATCGTGTTGTAATTTGTCGATGGTTTCCTTTCGTGCATTTGAATGTTACAAGTTACATAGGTTACAAGTATAGATTAAAATGAAGTCATTCTCTACTCTCTCAACCCCACCAACAAACGGATCCCACTACATCATATGGCTCTCCTACGACTTAACGGGGCATTCTGAAAGCAGATGGTATCTCTTGAACTTCAACGGTCTCTCCTTATTAAAGGGGCATTAGGTAAGATTAGATAACGAACTGACAGTTCTCGCTATAATAGTTAAAAAATAGATAATGATAACAGAAAATGCGTAAAATTTCAGCCCAATTTCTACACTCTGAACCAAGATATTAACGATTCAGTTTTCGGCTAGCCTCGATCACCATTATTAACGGTGGTTCAATAATTAACAATGTCTCGATTATCCATTTTTTCGTTAAATTACCCATCACAAAATGTATTCAAATCCACTAAAGATCGCAGGCTAACGATGCCATTGACAGTTCATTATGGTCTGGGTAAAATGTCTAATTAATAATTTAGATATCATTTCAGGCCTAAAGAAAGGCCTGCAATAGGCAGATTTAACCCTTGTATAATGCATGTTCAAGAATCTACATGGTGTCTGTCTATGATCGCCCAATGCTCTGATGGTTTTCTACACTATGGTTTCGACTTTCAAATATCTAATTAATCAAATGTTACGTAATTAATGATGATTGGTTACTAAGCCTAATGAAGTCACGAATTAGCCAAATATGGAATAGACATGCCTCATACATTTTTGTATGCGATATCACTTCAGTGGAAGCGGATGTTAAATAAAGCTATTTCACACGCCTCATACATTGCACACCAACCGAGATTATCAGCTAATTTGGTCAATAAACACATTCCATTCCCGATCATGAAGATGACATATGTTTATTAACATTTAGTTCAATTCATGTATCATAATATCACAGATTCCCGTTGTTTCACGCGCTGTTTTGAATCTGTACAAGATCTTCTGCTGTTGAAACTCTGTACATAATTATGAAGCCACTTTGAGTTTGAAAATGGCAAAACAGATTTGTCACTGTTCATTGATTCTTTATTATGAAATGTTACTTGCTGTACTTTCTTATAACCAACACGAGTCCTCTCTATGTTGATATATATATCCTTCCATGTGGTTGTAGAATCATATGTAAGTTCACATTTAACACTAACTACATGTATTTCCATCTATATATTTACTTTTACCTGATATCATACTGAAGCTAAAATCCTATCCAGTGAGGAGGAATTGTATCTAGTTTATCTTTATCAAATTCGCTAGCGAAACTAGAATTAGGTAATGTAAAATTTTTATAATATACTGTGGTTCCATTGATAAACCACGCGGCCCAGAAACTGTAAGAACCAACACTCGTGATCATATGGTCTAACAACGAGAGGAGTGCTAGATCAACCGCGGCTGGGCCCGTGGGCACAACTATGACGTCACGTTGGCTTCTGAAGGCGTTCTGAGTCCATGTTAAGTCATTTGAGCATGCAAGATACGTGATGTTTTTATATCTATTCTGCATGTATTGCTGTGCTTTGTAAAAATAGTCTTCAGAAGGAACTTTGTAGCCGTACTCTTGTTTGACTTTCAGCAGATAGTCACCACGTCGAACATGTATTCCTATTAAAGTTCGATTTCTATGATTTTTTCCATATTTCTTTGTTAAGAGCGTATTTAATTTAGTTTTAGCAGTTCGTAAAATTTGATCTTTAAAAGTTAAATATTGACGTATTTCTTCGTTATATTCTGTAAAATATTTATAGCTCTGTAAGTAGCCATAGACGTACACTGTGCTATTCAAGTGTATTTTGTAAGCGTGGTTTGCTACTTGACAGCATTTCAATGTATGTACTAATTTAGCGGCTTCACACAAACCCCAATCCGTCTCAAACGCACCCTCGATTTGAAACGTATCCGATAGATTATCTGGTTTTAACCCAACAATAAGTTTCATACCACTGCGTTTGGCAATTCCGTATGAGGATGCAAAGACGTACAGTTGATTGCCCAATCGGCCAGTCGTTCCAGCACACACGTAATAAGTTTCATTATGCCCGTATCTTGTCTTTGTCGAATTGTTCACATATCGTATAAACTTATTTTGCTGTATTTCTGTCTTCAAACTTACGTTCATGTGCTTGGTATTAATAATAATAATTACTCCTATACAAACAGTAAACGTTAGTAGAAGAAATACTGAAATGAGAAAAGTAAAACATAGCCACTAGATGATTTTATAGAATTAGAGAGAAAGAGAGACAAATGAGGTTTAACGTCCACTCGACACAAACTAGGTCATTTCGGGACTAACATATGGTTTAATTTTATTTCAATAATTCGCTTGCGTATAGGGGTCTTTAGCAGTTGGAGGAAACAGGAGGACCCGGAGAAAACCCACGAGGTTGGACAGGCGACCCTACTCCTTGTCACGTACAACCGGGTATTCGAAACCACGCCAGTCGACTCAATGACAGACTTTATGATACAGCGCGCGCGCTAACCATTCAGCCATTATAGGATTAGAGTTTAAATGAATTTGGGTTGATAATTCGTTCTATGGTAGTCTATCTGCTTGACAGAAAATAAGATGCGAGCAAACTGAGCTAATAAAATGTCAAAATTGGAAAAATGTATTATCAATAATAAGTTGGGAAGTCAAATTTTGTAAGGGTCTTTGCATCTAAAAGACCTAAAATGGGATTTCCATTCTCACTGGCGATTTAGTTTCAAAAAGTAATTTAACTTGGTTGGCAGGAAAAACAATTATCTTATTTTGGGAATTGCTTTTCTCCAGCCGCGGAATTAGTGAGATTATTTGTTTTTAGCTTTTTTTTCTTTAAATTTTACCAAATGTTAATTAAAAGTTTTGGATTTTGGCTATATTTTAAACATGATAACTACATAAGACACTAGTTAAACTTTAACCAAATAATAATTAAAAGTTTTGGATTTTGACTATATCTTAAACAAAATAACTACATAAGAATCCAGTTAAACTTCGAACTATTAAATTTTTCGTTAAAAAAATAACCCAAAAGTATTATATTTTACCTCGTTGCTTTCTAATAAACATCATTATGCATTCAGGTATTCCGTCTTGGTTATAGGGTTCTAATTTGAACAGAAAACGTATTATAGCATAAAATCTCTCTTAAATATGTGAATTTTAATGTTTCGCGTAACAGCTGTAATCGTTTAGATCCAAACGTTTGAAAATCATTATACTGTACTATCATACTGTTAAAGGACAATGATGGTGTCGGCCAATATTATATATGTGATTATGCCGTCGGAGTGGGGAGGGGGCAGGAAAGTTACGGCCTATTCTGTTTTCGAATAACTAGACACTACCCATGGCAGGCACTGCACACTGCACGACTGACAACGGAAGATATCGCTGGGAACTTTTGACGAACTTTCTAGGCCAACACAGAGCAGTCAGACTCATTGAATGTTCAGCCCTATAAAAACGGATATTATTATTATTATAACACAGAGATCGAACCCCCGGACTTCCTGATTATCTGATTAGTGAGACAGTGTATTACTCTCTGCCCTCCGTCCTGCACTACTGAAATGGGGAAACCACGCTGGAACATAATCGAACCCCTTATTGAGTTAACTTGCACTGATGAGAAAAGGGAACTTGCATGAAAAACAGGAAAATAAGCCGTACAAGTACATTGCACCCCCCCCCCCACGCCCCCCGCCCAGTAGCGTTACGCGTGACGTATGCTCTTATTTATCATACGAGTTAATGCGGAACAGTAAGACAATAAACCCCTTTTGATATTTTTCTCTTCATTACAATTGTCACTCCAATTACATAATACTATTTAGTTTTTGCCATGCATATATGTTATAGATGCTTTGTTTCAGTTTAAATATTTGTTAGAATGTTAGCCTCAAATCTTATCTGAAATACAGGTTTACACCTAATCTAGTAGAAATAATTTTGGGGGAGAACTTGTCTGTTGTTAAATCCTATTCAGTTTATTGAATAAATTATTCAAACTAAATACTGAAATCGGTAATTATTGATATTGACCATATAGAGAGATAACTCCTTGTATCGTGTACCGTTAATATATTTCCAACATTCTGTGTGCCCCCCTCCCCACCCTGTCCTTTGCGTTTGGGGTATTCTTGTTTAAATCAAAATTAGATGTTTTCGCCAATATTTAATTACAGAAAACTGTAACAACAATTCATGAATCCATACAGGACAACAACAAGATCAAAGGGGTTTATTCTACAAAAAACTAATTAAGTGTGAAGAGTAACCATTGAGTATAGTTAAGCAATTAGGTAGCTATGATGATAGATACAATACTACCGACAGAATGGGATAGTTTTTCGTAGAATAAACCCCTTTGATCTTGTTGTTGTTCTGTATGGTTTCATGAATTGTTGTTACAGTTTTCTGTATATATTGATCTCATAATTCTTGTATTACTGTATTAGTTTGATAAAGTTGAGAGAATACTCTACGAAACGTCGCCCAAATAAATAAGTAGCTGTTTTTCCATAAGTATGTGTTTTTTGTGTATTGCTCTACCCAGTTACTAAATGCCTCTTAAAGATTAGAACAGTTGTATGGTCGTGTAGGCATCTATGACATGCAGTAGAACGGATATGAGCAAATCTATTATAATAAAAAAAACAACAGAATATTTCCGAATGAAAACTTTTAACCTCTGTAAATAAATACAAAAAGCAATTCGAAATAAAATTGAAAAGAAGGTAATTTCGAAAAGTAAAACCAAAAATATAGGAACCACCTCAGTTTCAATAAAATCATGCATTATAACTATTTTTATTTATTTATCTTTGCTTCTTCAAATTTAATTTGATTATTCGGATGTAACAAGTTATACATATTTATTTTATATAGAGTGCCAGTTTTTAAATTAGGGAATAAATGTTTTTAAAGCTTTAGATCATAGTTAGTTTTTATATATCTCTCTACCATAAATAATAGCCCGAGCATTTCACAGAATATCTGGATTTAAGTATAGTATTTACGGCGTAGATTTGATGTAGAGTATAAGTCGAATCGTCCTATTCTACTGTTTTCCGACCTCCATCCATATACATGTATAAGTCGAAGCGGTTTAAAATCGAATGTTTTTCAATTCCACGGTAGCAATCTTTTATCGAGTTTCGGGACTATTATCCTAGTCTATATAATACCGTGCCGGTTTACGCCAGAATTAATTGGCCCATTATGTTAATTACCATAAAATAATCACTTTATAAATGTAGGACTAACTTGATTAATATTGGTTTATTTGAACCAGTTTTTATTTCAATATATCTGATAAATATAAGACAACACGGGCGCTGTTTCTAATCACACGTGTTTATAAAGTACGTTAATAAAAATGGAATACAACAACGCAATATAGTATGCAGTCAAAAGTTAAAGAAATGTAACCATTTTTTATTGTCAGTTTAAAATACTGAGCCATTCAGATACAACTGCCGAATTGTCATGAGCACGCGGACTTTTCAGACAAAAGTATAACCAGAAAACTTACTGTCCTTACATACTAAAAGTTATATTACTGTTATTAATTCCATTCAATCATTAGTTTGTCTTCAACTCGTCATTTGTGTTCATGGGCATCATGATGAGATGGCAACGTTATATGATTTATATTTATGTTCAAACGAATACGTCATGTGATCAGTTATTTGTGTATAAAACAAATGATAACCTCCCATGTTCAATAGTCTAATTGTGTGAAGTACTCTTGCCTTAAAAAAGAAATAATTATTGGGGGGGGGGGGGGGTTCTCGCTGCAAATAGTATGCATCCATGTGTTTGGAAATAAAATCTGTAACTTTTATGTGGTCGTTTATTTTAGATCTAAAGGTCCCGGAAATAATATTTTATATTTGTGCTTTAGTGTTTTCCTCCTTGCTCGTGATTGGCTATTCACGATAAACGTGGCATATGGGTCGATTATGTTCATGTATAAGGAAAGGTATAGCAACGTCAATGCAGAAACCGATATAAATATCAAAACAAAACTATACAGTTATATGGGACAACAATCACTGGTTTATTATACACAAGCACGACGTTTCGATAAGTATTCTCTTATCGTTATCAAGCACAATGACATTTAGTAAACTTGAGGGTCTATATAAATATGTCTGCACATTTATAAACAAATTTTGTTATCGGCTTAAATCGATTGTAACACTTGTTTAAATTGTAAAGAACATAATATCAATTATAAAACGATCAATTGACAAATGTAATTTGTAGAGTGTTCATAAGAAATAGTGGGCGACGAGTGGACGGATCGACGGCAATATACGACCATATTTCCATGTGGGCGCTTACAAAGTAATCCAAAGTCACTGAAAATATTGCCTCGAAATAGACTGAGTGACTAAGTGGTGATAATTGTCTCAATTTTTTGGGCGGGGCGGGCGTAGGGGAGAGGAGCTTTTTAGTCCTGGATTTACGTCGTTTTTGATGAATTGGTAAGATAGCCACGAGATATGGTTTGCTATTCAGGATTTACTATAGAAAGCATTCAAGACACACGGTCTCTGACAATTAACAATAATTTACAGACCAATGTTCTAGTTCACTTTTATGTCCCTTGAATCCGGGACCTATAGCGATCGATATGAGTAGCAATAGTTACGTGACTTCTTTGCACAGCTCTGTGGAAATCATCGTTGGAAAAAGGAGTGTATATATTATTCCAGGTCCAACACGACAATTACACCCAATGTATCTTTGTGATAGTTATCAAAATCGTGAAAAATCTGTGCGTTTTGTTCAGCTGAATTATGCGAAATTATGTGTTAATCAGTACGAGTATCACGACGCCAAATCGGCATATCATGATAGTGCACAATATTGTTTACAAATGTTTTGTTATTATTTCGTATCATATCATGTATGATCTAATTAGTATTCGTCTTTAAACCGTTTCGACTTATATATGGATGGAGGTCGAAAACAGTAAAATAGGATGGTTCTTATACTCCACATCAACTTCTGTGAAATGCTGTGGCTATTATTTATGGTAGAGAGATATATAAAAACCAACTATGATCTAAAGCTTTAAAAACATGTATTCCCTAATTTAAAAATCGGCACTCTATATAAAATAAATATGTGTAACTTGTTACATCCGAAGAACCAAATTAAATTTGAAAAAGCAAAGATAAATAAATAAAAATAGTTATAATGCATGATTTTATTGAAACTGGTGTGGTTCCTATACTTTTCGAAATTACTTTTTTAAAATTTTATTTCGAATTGCTTTTTGTATTCATTTACAGAGGTTAAAAGTTTTCATTCGGAAATATTCTGTATTTTTTTTGTTATAATAAATCTGCTCATATGCGTTCTACTGCACGTCTTAGAGGCCTACACAACCACACAGAAGAAGAAGAAGTGTTTATTAAAGTGTCACAACGGACAAGACAAGAACGCATGCAATACCATAAATTATGATCACATTATTGATATCCATATGTCTTCATAATTAACGTTTAAATTAAATTTAAATGAATGTATGAATTGTGTGCTTTATTTATTTTCCATTTATTGTCAATTGGTATGAGCTGAAACATTCATCGCTGCACGTATATATAGCTTTGCTCCAATAATGACATTTTGTGCAATGTTATGGGGGTTTCAAAAGAAACGTGGTCAATGCTGAGTTAAAGACTTAATTTATTTTTCTACAGTAAATATAAAAAATAAATCGTCGTATTGGAAATGTGAAATGTTATGCCTTTTTCAATAATAATGGATTATTTGTTGCGTTTCAATATGTTAGATTAAATAAACACTAATTTAATGTCTGCGATATCAGTTAGGTGGAAGCAGACGTCAAGTAGAGCTATTTCACACACAGAGCGTTCTTAAATAACATCTACAACTTCTAGATTTGACGTCGTCTTCAATTACAGCTTCGGTGAATGGTAGTTCAAGAAGGCCGCCATATTGCACTATTTTGTGCTTCGGTCTGGTCTATTTCAGATATACACAATCATTTCTGTTAAAGTTTTTAGCGTGGGGATTGGCAAATAGTTAATTTATTTCAGTTCTAGACAAAAATTTAAATCTTTAACG